GGAAATAAATTTGAACTTCGCTCTTAATTCCAATATTGAAGGTAATCTTTAAATGCAAAAACCTTAGATCAAAGCAAATCAGGAACTTTTTTTACGAAATCAGTAATCTTTAAATGCAAAAACCGTAGATCAAAGCAAATCAGTAACCTTTTTTATGAAATTAGTAACCTTTAAATGCAAAAACCTTAAATCAAAGCATATAAGTAACCTTTTTGACAAAGGTAATCTTTAAATGAAAAAAGTTTAGATACAAAAGTAAACGATTAAAAAAGATAACATAACTTATTTGAACGTGTATATGAAAATCTTACTTAAAGGAAGACGTATAATAAAAGAGATTTAATGCTTCTTTTGAAATATTGATCTTACATAAAAGAGAAAGATTGTATTTGATCACTTGAACGTTTAGTTACTCAATGATGAAAGCGTGCAACTAAGAATCTTTGCAGAGCTAAGAATCTTTGCAGAGTTACTTAGTGAGGGAGCATATGGGAGATTGGGAGAACATTTGGACTGAGGAGGGAGCATTTGGACGTAGCGTTTTTGTGGCCCAAAAGAAACAGTTTGTTATTTGTATTGTACATATTTTCATTTTTATTTTTTTAAAAAAATTATGGTGGTGACAGGTGTCAAAACTTGCTTTTTGTATTACCTGGATTTGTATATAGTTATAGCTAACAGCAAATGAAATGGACTTCTAAGTTTCAAAAAAACAGTTTCATTAAAAAACTTTAAAAGGGAAAGGGAAATAAAGAAGAAAAAGATTGTGCTGAAATCTGAAGAAGAAAACGGAATTCAATGGAAAAATCAATGTAAATCCTGGAAAAAGTGTGTCAAGGGAAAAGCTGTTTGGGTCAAATATTAACTTGATCAGCAACTTTTTCTTTTAAAATAGTGACTGTCAGATTTTGGTAAATTTTATTAACTTTTTTGCTGGTACATTTTGAGGAACAAAAGAATCAAAGAAGGAATAACAATGCTGGTTTATTATGAATGGCAAGTGAATGTCCTGCAACTACAAGAACCAAATTCAAGCCCATGAACGTTGCTAAAGTTACTATCAGCAGAAAGCAGAAAAGAGAAAAAGAAGTCTGCAATTAGAGAAGGTTACGATCATTGCTTGAAATTTACAAGGCGATATCAGCATATATTACAACCTAGTCTAAAACAACCAAAAAATGACAGAGCCTTAGCTTTTACTCAACCTGTTATTTGGTAAGCGAAATTGTGAAGGTGATGAACAATATCCTTTGTGAACCATGATTCAAGCAGCAAACATTAAAAGTGGTTCAGTGGTCTATGATTCCACTAATTAGCTTAATGCAAGAGGCTTCTACCTTACTCTATGGAATTGAATCTAATTGCGTTGCTAACCCTCTGAACCATGAACTTAATCTGGCAAACACCAGAATCATTTTTCTTTTTTTTTTTTATAAAATCATTTTCAAAATTTCCTTTGCATTAGTTATTTTCCTAGTAAAATATTCTTGATAAGTTTACAATTATTTTGTCAGTAAACAATCAATGCTGTAAGTAGTGAAGGACTTAAATAGTTTGGAATAAATATTGGATTTTAATTTCAATGAGAAAATATTAATAATAATTAAGATAAACTCGTTCTCTCGTAGTCTCTGTTTGCTTTCATGGTTGATGAAGGATAGGATATAGACTCCCTCACTTTATTTATTTCAGTCGATTTAAAAAACAAAAACAAAAAAAGTTTTGAATTAAATTTGTGTAAAGATGATAAGAAAGAAAGAATAAATCACATAATTTATGACAACAAAAGGGAAGAAAAAATCAACACGTAATATTTTTTTTATAATAATAAAATTAAAATATTATTTATTAATAATAAATAAAATTACTTTATATTTTCTTCATTTTTCTTTTTCTTTCAACTTCTTCAAATGACCTCACTTTGATATTTTTTTTCTATTCCATTCCTCTCCACTATAAATTCCAAACAAAAAACAAAGATTCGACCACAAATCAATAAAACAAAATGTATAAACTACTTTGAAAAGAAAGTGTCTCGTGACATGAAGGGAATCTTACTGTGTCAAGCAATATCACAAGCCATCTTACAATGCACATCCATGTTCATAACAATTAGCCAATTGATTTGTGTCCAACCAGTTGGTGGTATTGTCGGTGAGACTTGCAGCTGATTTTTGAAGAGAGAATAAAGTCTGAATTTTAACATTAACATGTAAGACAAGACAACATCAGTATGTATAGCCTCTGATTATGCATCTCCATCCAGTATGATCTGCAGCACCTGAAATCACTGCACATGTATTTGTGTTTCCACTTTCCATCTTAAGTCCAATCAATTCCCATGTTCAATACCTTCACCTCTTCCATGCCTACCATGTCATAACAAGATAAAATTGTGTATGAAAGTGTCTAATACTTGTAATCTAAAATAGTTTTAGCCCCAAGTCCTGGATCTGGAGCTGCAACCCTTATTTGTAACGAAGATCCCTTCGATATGGAAGCACCATAAAGCTGATAGCAAAAAAATTTAGTTGGAATATTTGTCTCAATCAATTATGATCAACACAATTCATCCTAGTAAAGCGGTAGAACTGCCATTTTTCATCCATGCTTTTTTCAAAGAAACCACATATATATTAAACCTGAGATACAAATTGTGATATTGTCACCTCATAATTTTACAAAGCACTAATTCTTCTATATCAGCCTTGTTTTTTTTACTGAGTTCTATATCCGTGTGTCACGTTGCGCTATGATTATTGCCACACAACCGCTATCAAATAATAAGAGAGCCAACTATCTTTGATATAAATTTGTATATTTTTCATTGCCATGATTCCAATATATCTCCTGAATAATAATTGCTCCATGGTTAGCAAAAGATCATCCAAAGCGATAATAGTAACTTTCTCCTACCTTTTCAAAAAAGGAACATGCACCAGAAAAACATGGATAATGGTCAACAGAAGAATATGAAAAAGAAAACAAAACCTTTATATTATTAGGTTTTATGTCATCAACCTTCAAAATGCACAAAGGATTAGAGAGCAAAATAATAATAATAAATTGAGTTATAGGTTATATCTAGTTTAACAAGGAAAACGTGTTAGACTGCTCGTTTATAAATAGACCGTGGATATTCTATTTCACCCATTTACTGATAGAATTTCAATTTATAAAACAATAAAATGCAAAAATGGCAAAATTATTGATGAATGACTGTTGAAAAATAACATAATTATTACACACTTACAGGTGTTAGTGTTACCTTTTGCTTATTGACTTCTCAAAGACCAAGAAGAGGATGCAGAAAGATGAGAACCCCGAATCAACGCAGTTCTCATTAGCTCCAATCTGCAGCCGAAAGAACACATAACATAAAATAATTCAAAGTCTGTAGAAAAGGTAGTTATCCGCCGTTGACAAACCTACATGCTTTACCAAATGAACTTAAAATAGCAAAAGTTTTTGTACTAGCACTACAATATGAAATTGTATCCAACCCAATCATATGAAAATGAATCAATTAATGCATAAAACACAGTATATACGTTCAATATACCTCTTCAAATCTTATATCACTGTAAAACAAGATCACGAGCATTTCCTATATATAACCAGCCAACTCATATATATGCATAATATATATATATATATATATATATATATATATATATAATTAGACATTTAATTAAGAACATCTCCTTAATTGTAGGTTTTGTCTTTATAAATTTTGAGGAACTTCAAAAGGCCTATATATGATTCGAATAAGTCTATTGTGTTGTGGTCAGAAAGATACAAACTGCCGAGTGAAGTGAGCACTATCCAAGTATACTTGGAAATATTAGGACCAACTTCATCATGAGATGCTAAAGGACGAGAATAATAGTAAAAGGACTGTACTGTGGAGCATAAAATTGAATTATCACAATGCATTAGTGTTTAGTCGTCCCAGTCTAAGTCATCATAGGTAAAGTTAAATTAGAGAATCATGACCTATGCAGAAAAATGAAGAAACTAAATCTTTCAAACACCGATAAGGAATAGGATATCAGTTAATGAGTATAGAAAGTAATTATGAGTTTTATTTTTAAGCCAGGAATGGAAATCCATTAATTTCAAGTTGTGGTTATCTTTAATCCAAAATCCTAATTTTCTATTTCTGTTGAAACAGATATAGATCATAGATACATGAAAATTAGCTATAGTTAGTGTCTCATAAAGACTACAGTACAGATTACGGAGAGGTTCCTTATGAATTCCCATTTGAAAATTTGAAAACAGCTATTTTGGAGAAAAGTATACAAACTATTCCGTTAGTAACAGTTTTTAAGAAAAGACAATCTCGTACTAGGAGTCATATAGAACTAACTATTAACAACAGAGAAAAATTGAAGATAGTTGAGGAGATGGATATACGCAGGTATAAAATAAAAGAGAATATAATAATAACAAGAATCTGGTAATGAAGAGAATAGTCATGGTTTTGTTTAATTTGATTTGGGAGGGCCAAGTTGCTCCCAATCATGTGGATCCGTGCAAGACACAAGCATTTCAAGTTTAGTTATTTAATGATATTGATGGTGTGTTAGACGATAAGTCTACTGGGTATAGGGACATGAATGGGAAAGACAGGTATCTGAAATGAAGGAAGAGGGCACGTGGAAGAGGTTGTGAGGAAATGGGAAAGGAAAAAACAAGAGAAAAGATTTAGGGAGGAATTTGGGGATTGATTTGGATGAGATGGTGGAAACGGAAATGACTGGTCATCACTTCACCCAACAGACAGAAAGCAAAGCCAGCACAGCTGTTTTACTATTTTTGTTTTTCATGTTCATTTTTCCTCCATAAAGCGATGCCCGCAGAATCTTCCCAAAAATCTTTCACAGTCACTCCAACACCATGCTGCACGCAAAACAAATAAATACCACCGCTCCCACCACATCCACTCACAACACAAACGCTTCCAAGATAAAACTACCCGTTTCCCACTCGGCAAAATGGTGCGTGTCAAAGAAGCTCATGTTGTCACACCTTCAGACCCCACACCCAACACTGTCCTCGCACTCTCAGCACTCGACTCACAACTCTTCTTGCGCTTCACAATCGAGTATCTCCTTGTTTACCGGCCCGGCCCCGCCCTCGCCCTCGACCGCCCTTCCACCGCGGCTCGTATAAAAACCGCATTAGCCAAAGCGCTTGTTCCTTATTATCCATTTGCTGGCAGAGTCCGGGCCCGGGTCGACGGGCTGGGCCTCGAGGTTGTGTGTCGGGCCCAGGGCGCTGTCTTCATCGAAGCCTCTTCCGAACGTTACACTGCCAAGGATTTCCAGAAGGCCCCCAAAACAGTGGCCCAATGGAGAAAGCTCTTATCCCTCTACGTCACCGACGTCCTCAAAGGCTCGCCGATTCTCGTCGTCCAGCTGACATGGCTCGCCGACGGAGCCGCCGCCGTCGGTATCGGAATCAACCACTGTATCTGCGACGGCATCGGCAGCGCAGAGTTTCTGAATTATTTCTCCGATTTAGCCTCCGAGAAATGTCTCCGTCTGGGTCTCAGTGTCAGTGTGGATTCGAAACCGAAACCGAAACCGAAACCGGTTTGGGATCGACACCTTCTGAATCCGGACAGTACAACCAAGGCGAATCCAGCGATGCATGCTGAGTTCGCTGGAGTTCCTGATTTGTGCGGGTTCATGAACCGTGTGACGAGCGGGTTGAAACCTACGTGCAATGTGTTGGACGAGAGGCGGATCGAGGCGCTGAAGCGCGCGTGCGGAGGAGCGTCGTGCACGACGTTCGAGGTAGTTGCTGCGCACGTGTGGAGGAGCTGGGCTCGGGCGTTGGGGTTTCCGAAGAACCAGATGCTGAAGCTCTTGTTCAGCGTGAACGTGCGGAAGCGCGTGAAGCCAGGTTTGCCGGAGGGGTATTACGGGAACGCGTTTGTGTTGGGGTGCGCTCAGAGCAGCGCGTGGGAGTTGGGGGAGAGGGGGGTGGCGTACGGGTGTGGTGTGGTGAAGCGTGCGAAGGAGAGGGTGGACAGCGAGCACGTGCGGAGGGTGGTTGAGTTGGTGTCGGAGTCGAGGGCGAGTCCTGACTCGGTGGGGGTGCTGATACTGTCGCAGTGGTCGAGGCTGGGTCTGGAGAGGGTTGAACTCGGAATGGGAAAGCCTCTGCATGTGGGACCCATTTGCTGCGATAGGTACTGTTTGTTTCTTCCGGTGGCCGGTGAACGTCAATGTGTTAAGGTCATGGTGGCTGTCCCCATCGCCGCCGTTGACAATTTTCACCGCTTCCTCCACGAATCTAATCTATGACCCAACCACGTCCTCCTAGGATACGTTGACATCTGTAATTATTCTGTTTTACTAAATTAAATAAAAAATAAATTTGTAATTCTCCTCCTGTCAAATGTAAGATTAAAATGGATTAATCATATAATTATTATATAATAAGAAGAATATTAGATTAAGGAATATATATATATATATATGATTGGTTCTTGGTCTAATCAATCAATCAACGAGATGAGTGAATAGTGTTACTATTTAGGGCATGGGAATTGAAATTTATTTTATGCCATTCCCACTTTCTCAAACTCATCCCTGAACTTTTGAGATCATGTAGGAGTGTTTCATCATCTAAGCACATAAAAATCTTCCCACATTTATATCAATTTGAACAATCTTGACATCTGTAAAAAAGACAAACACAGAGGATTAACCACTCCATTCATTCAACCCTATCTCTATTTCTACAAATAGAATGCGGATTTCCCCAATTAGTATCCATGTCATCTCCCATTTTTCTTTTCTTAAATTTACTCTTTCCTCGCGTTTATATCAAATTTCCATATCCTTTTTTTCTTCTTAAATAATTAAAATTTTAAAAGCAATTCGAAAAAATTAAAGTCCAAAGACTTATACAATTTCAATAAACGTAAGGGTTTTGTAGCTTGTCAAATTATGATATTTTAATTAATATGTTTTGAGTAGAAGATATATTAAAATGGTTTTAATGGGTTGAGCTTATAAAACTATTTAGGGGAAAAAAAAAAGGAAGAAGACGAGAGTTTGATCGTTTTAAATTAAAACTGATCGAGTGAAAAAAAATACGAGAATTGGAAAATTTGAAGGGACATTGTGCTAATTAAAATTTTTGAGAAACTGAAGTAAAATAAATAATTATAAAATAACCAAAATTTCACGTTTACAATAAAAGAGAGGAAAAAAAATACAAGCACTTTTTTTAACATCTGCGTATAAGGCGTGATATGAAACATAGATTAGGATTATAATTAATTAATAATAAGCTATTTTTTTGTTATTGAGGAACTCGAATTTACTAATTTTTTTTCCTTGCTCTTTTACCCACATTACTAACTTCAATGGATATCCACTATTACAATGTTTTTACCCATCAAATAATTCTAGACCAAGGTATGGGCAATTTTATTTTATTTTCGCAATTATGAGAATATGTCTATGTAATATTAAACCCGCACCTACATATAAACACTTTTTCTAACGTGATTCCATGGACACATGATAACTTGATAAGAAGTAAAAGACAAAATGTTTACAAAAAGAAAAACATTGAGTACATAAAAATGATTTAATGTTTATTTGTTTAGGGCATTTAATATGGAATATTTGATATTTTAAACATGTGCATACATGCATTAGAAACATTAGTTTTTAAGTAAGTTAGATGTTATGCTTTTAATTAATACTTTTATGTGTGTTAATTTTTGTAATATCCCATCAAAATCTTATTCAGCACTATTAAATTTATTTATTTTAATTAAACAAGTTTCTAAGTGGTCTTCAAAACATAAAAAACAAAAAAACTTGTAGCATTACTATTTGATCGAATAAAATAACAGGATTCAGTAATTTCATTTTTCTAAAAATTTGTTATTTTATTAGAACGGTCTTTTGAATTTTTGTACTTTATTTTGGTCTTCTATATTAACTTTGTCTGATTTCAATTTAGTCTAATTTGCTATGGCGTGTTTTTTTATTATTATTAAAATTCTGATGTTTTTTTCATTCTACAAATTATTTATACGATTCAAAAATTTAATAAAATTAAAATGAAATGAAATGAAAAGATTAAAAGACCAAATAACTAATTGACCCAAACAGTATTAAAACCTTTTGTACAAACTTATTGATACATGTTGTAATAAATTAAAAAAAAGGTGGATGTATGATTAGTTGTTGCTTTTGAGGGCATATATTTGGAATGATTAGTTGTTTATTTATATAGTAAGATACTTTGAAATAAGTAGAGGAAAATGGTCGGTTCCTTTGGCTGAACCTATCATTCTGTTCTTCATATATTTTCTATATTCAATGTTTTATTTTAATTAGAGACCAATTAGTATGATGATGATATCTGTAAAAAATTCCATGCTCTTCAATATAATTAATCATGAGAAATAATTTTTTTAATTTTAATAACAAATAGCTTATTTATTTTTTACTTCTTTTGTTAGACCACTTTTTTATTTATTTCTTTTCTACTTTTTCTTTTATCGAAGTAAAAAAGTTGTGTATAAAATTTTGCGTAAAAAGTGGATTATGTCTGTTAAGTTTTTTTTTTTTTCGAAGATATGCATGACGTATGGTATAGAATTTTTTGAAAAAAAAAAGAAGGCATATTCGGAAACTTTAAAAAGAAGTTGATGCATCCATAGATAGATGAACCAACGTGGTATGCAGACAAAGAGTACAGGTGGCGTGATTAATTATTGCATAATCCATGTTCTGAAACATTTGATTTCACTTTATGAATTGTTCTGTAATCATGTCTAGTATAATCCATTGACTGTATAACATGGGTACTGAAAATATACACCAGAAGTTTCTATGATTATTCTCTCTTTCTCTTCAAATTTTTTTTTGTCAAAAACTTTTCTTCAGTTCCACTGAATAAGCCTTTGGGTGCTTCAAGATAAGATTAGAAAGAAGGAATCTTTGACTAAAATAATATCAAGCAAAATTAGATGTGGACCAAGAAAATAAAACTACCACGAACATGTTTTAATATGATGAATTATTTAAAGTCGTTGATGGAATGAAATAAGCATCTTTTGTCATCTTTGAAACTGATCAGGAGTACAGTACTGATATTTTGTGTGTAAGAAACCCAAAAGACAAGGGTGGAAGTTAAAGATGAGTAGTGTGTAAATGTGTGTGTATTGAAATGAAAGAAAGGTGTTGGAATGGTACGTACTATGAAATGTAGTGGATGGTGTGTGTTTGTGACAGAATTAAGAGTACAATGAATGACCTTGTTGGAAGTGAAATGTAAGGCAATAGGGTCCTGTTAATCAGTGGAGGTGCTCTAGAGCCTACACTTTGACCATCAATGGAAAATGCTGGGTATTGGAATGGAGGAAGGGTTTGTCTCTTATTGGGTTGTGACTGAAAAAAGATGTCAAAGCACAACATTCAATAGGATAGTACAACATTATTAATTATTTACAAAATTAAAGAAATAATGAGTCTCAGATGAATCTTCATCTGCTGGGCCTGCAGAATGATGCATTTGTATCAGTACCTTCTTCCATGCCAAAGATTTTGTGGGATTTTTGTGTATTCAAAAAATGGGACAAAATAATTGCTCCTCCAATTTAACAACAACAAAACGCTTGGGTTAGAAGTTAGAAGTGAGTTGGTTGGACACTAGTTGTAGGCGTGGCAGCAGGATGATGAATCAAATAATGTTTGTCTTCCCGCAAATTGTCTTAAACTGTTAGGTTAAGTGGTACCAAATAATTTTATCATCATACAATTTGACTAGACAATCTGACTAGATTTCATGTGACCCTTTTTACTATTATCCACGTCGCTTATAACAGGAGTGAGATTAGAGTATTTTAGTTGGGTGGTTAAACACAAAATATCATTAAATAAAAGTTTTAAAGATGAGAATGTTGGATTGAAATGATTTAGTAAAATAATGGTGCAAAACAATTCATGTTAAAATATTTAACAGTATGGAAAATACACTAAAGAATGAGATATGTAGACATCTAAATTAAAGCAACATTAATAAATGATATTTTATTTATTTATTTTGATTAGATATGTAATTTATCTTTATCCCAAAACACTAACCTTGTGTTTTTTTCAGGCGTGGAGTGGAGGGGGATTTGCGAAGATTTTACCCGTTCAAGAATAAAGTTTGAGTATGAAGAGAAAAAAAATCACTTTCTATTTCCACGCATAACACAGAAAATTCGTGAAGAAAGTGAAATATAATCTATTATATATTTTTATATGATAGATTATATTTCTAATTTTTTATTATGATTAATAATAAAAAATTAAATAAAAAATTAATTTATTTTGTTTTTATATTTTATCTTTTTCTTAATCCAAATAATCTTATTTTTTTCTATTCATCTTTTCCACTCAAATATTTTTTTTAATCAAACAAATAACAATAAATAATACATGTCATGTCCTAGGGATTCTTAATAAAGATTTAATAAATAAAATACATTAATATTGGAGTCACATTAAACGTAGCATAGAAGTGTATTGTTACATTTTGCAGTAAATTATTTTTACTTTTGGCACTTGTTTGTATTTTCCTATATTAATAGTAATCATTAACGAATATGATTTGCTAATAAATTGTAATTTCAGTGTTTTCGAAATAAGAATGAATATATCAAGTTAGAGTAACCTATACGAATATAATTGGTTGGGTTTTTGTACTTAATTTTTCCTGCAGTTATTATTTCTTAAAATTAGGTGAATTAACTTTATTTGGGTCACAAATAATAGTGCTGAAGTCTAAAAGTAAATAATGAATTTGGTGGATATAATGAAGTGAAAATTAGAAAGTGTGACAAACAAAAAGTTATTAGGGTCAAATATTAACCTGCTTAGCTATGTCTTTCTATAAAATTATTCTATTCATTGGTTTTTGGTAAAATTTATTGATGCGCAGAAGAATGAAGAAAACAACGCCCGTTTATTACGATTGGTAAGTGAAGTGAATGACCATAATTACAATAATGATATTCAAGCCCAATAACTTAGCTAAAAGGGATTGGGTTCGTTGGGTGTGATCTGAACGTTAAAAACTCAAAGGGAAAGCGTACGTTTACAAAATAAAAGAGGTCTGCAATTAATGAAAAAGACCCATATTCATTGCCTGAAACCATCTTAGTCTGATAATGTTAATTACATGGAGATCGTCCCAATAAATAAAGGGGGGAAGAATGGAAAAATAGAAGAACATGAGGGAAGCGACAAGGATTATAAAAACCTATCGACATATTACAACAAAGTTTAAAACAACCACCAAAAATGACAAAGGCTTAACTTCTGTTCAACCCTGTCACTTCGTAATCTAAATTATTAACTCAAATGCCAGCTGTGAACCATGATTCACGCAGCAGACATCTAAAGTGGTTAGTGATTTATGATTCTATTAAATCTAGCCGAATGTGAGAACCTTCTACCTTGTAATTCCAGTACCAGCTTCCACTCTCCATCATATCTTGATTAATTGGATCTAACTGGATTGCTAAACCTGAACACAATTATGAACCTAAATCAGTATCGCTCTCTACGACTAAACAGAACAAATACAATTTTGACTAAGGATTACAACAGTAACATTCTCAAGATAATCATGATAACAACATATATTACTTAAGGCAACCAAAGCATAAGCAAAGGAACCAGGCAAAAGAAATTTCTAGAGTTGAATAGACCTGAGCTTCCTGGCACGATTTTCAGTCTGTGGCCATCTGGAACTTCGAACACATGATTTCCCTATATCAGTCAAATAACAGAAAAATAAGCTTGTTTTGTTAGGTATTAGTTTATAGGTATCAAATATCCACCAGAGTTAACAATAAAGAAATTTTATTTTACTCATTTTTAAGGCTATATGACTAACAGTAATTGAAGGCTTTGTTACGAGACTATGGTTCGTTTAAACATTAATTACAAATGACTACAAGGTCAGTTTAGTAGTTAAAAAGCAGTGAATTAATAGGATCTAAACTCGAAAGCAATCCTTTATGTCAGTGGTTAGTTAGAAAAGAAAGTGTGCCAAGACTAATATTGTTTGAAACAATGTGGTTTGGGTCTGCATGAAGAGAATAATCCTGCTGTATCAAGCAATACCAGGCCGTTGTGGCAATCCTACCGTGCATATTCACATTCATATCAACAAGGCAATTGGTTTGGGTCCAATGAGAAATCTTTAGCTCAAATCCAATGAGTTAAAAGTACGTGAGACTTGCAACAAATTTTTTAAAGAGAGAATGAAATCCGCATTTAAACTTTAACCTGTAACACAACATCAGAAGCCTCAAATTCAGCATTTCCATGCAGTATGATTTGCAGCACCTCAGAACGCTGCACATCATGTTTCCAGTATATGTTTTGACAACAATTCCAATCAATTCCCTTGTTAAATACCTTGACGTTTTGCAATTTACATCTTCCACACCTGACATGATAACAAGATAAATGTGTATAATAATGTTAGATGCTTCCCATCTAAAGTAATTTTATGCCTTAGATCATAGGATATTGGGGAGCGATCAGGTTGATGAAGAATCAAAATAGTTCTTCCAGACAGAACAGTACCTTCGCCCATAATGTAGTATGGATTCACCTCTCTCATTAATCTCCGTTGAGCCCAAAACATTCTCAGCTAATATGATCAAGCTTCCGTTTAGCTGGAATAAAGGGACAAACTACAAATATCAGCCCAATATCTTAGAACTCAATGCAACTTACGTTCACAAAATCTATTTTAGTTACCTGAACATTCCTCCAAAAAAACTCTGCAACCTCTATTTTTAACTCAGAGCCCTCTGATACGGAACCACCATAAAACTGATCTCAAGAAATAATGACAAAATAATTGAAAACTTTATATAGAAATGATGATCAACACAAGTCACCCTTGTAAAGCTGTGTTACTGTCATGTTTAAATGCATTGAAGAAGGGATTACAACCAAAGAATAGGAAGAAAATTTTGTGTAAATAGAATGACAACCTTTTGCTTAGTGACTTCCCAAAGAGGACCAAGAGCAGGATGCAGAAGGATGAGAAATGGTGGTCCTGAATCCACATAGTTCTCATTAGCTTCAACCTGCAGGATAGAAAAAAAAAATTACATAAAATAATTGCTAGTACCTAGAAAAGAATTCACCCTTTACCAACTTGCATTACCAAATGAACTAACAATAAAAAAAAAGTTTTGCAGTAGCACACTAGCATCATATGAAATTGTACCCAACCAAACCAAACCAAATGAAAATGAATCAATAAGTATAAAACACACATTACATTAGTATGCATATATATACCTCAGGAAGTCTTATATCACATTGTGAAAGAAGATCGTGAGCATTTCGTAAGATATCCAACAGAGCACCATCAGGTGTCTGCATATAAATACAAAATATATCACAAAACATATAGAATTTAAAGCCCCTAGTATGGTTCTTAAACTTTCACTATTGTTCTAAAACAGATTAGTAAGATATTCAGATAATACCAACTGCTAAATGAAGTGAGCACTATCGAAGTACTTGAGGAAATATTAGGAACAAACCACATAAGGACGAAATACAAGAGTACAAGGACTGATAAAGCTTGAAATTGAATCAACATAATGGAATTTCATAGGTACTTGGTTTAGTCATCCCGATCCAGACAAACAAAGTTGATATTTCAAAGATGCAGTAAATCAAACCTGGTGTAAAGACTTGTCTCCGTGCCTTCTTTTTTTCTTAGCGGAGGAGGTAACCCTCCTTCTTTCATTATATACAATAAAAGTATCTAGCTTATCTGCTCACAAGTAAGGGCTTTGTTAAGCTCAACTAAATGGGAAATGAAGTATATGGTTTGTCCGATCAGACAAACAAATGTATAACATACCTTCCACATCATTATAACATCTAGATGAATATGAATTGAAATAATTGTCAGCTATATTTTGCATTGTGCACTCAAGTCTACCACCAGAGACGCTAGTGAATCACAATTGAAAAGGGATGAGTAAGTTGTAAACGTAACAAAATAATCAGCAATATACACGCATGATAACATTTCATCACAAGAAAAATTAAGGTAAAACTATTTAGTTGGTCTCCGAACTATTCGGAAATTTTCAAGTAGGTCACAAAACTTTGAAAATAAATAAATAAATAAGATTGGGTCCCTGATCTAGTAATTTTTTATTGAGTTGTTAGGGTTTTGAAAACTTGTAAATTCTGGAGACTTCAAGCTTCCATAAACTAACCCCAAAGACCTATATTTTTAGTTTAGGGGCCTAATTTTTTTTTGCTTTAGGGACCTCCTTGAAAATTCCCAAATAGTTTAGATACCAACTGAGTAATTTAATAAAAATTAACTTAGAGAAGTAATAATAAGAAACAGATAATCATTGTAGATAGAAAGGCTGTACTTATTTTTAAAACAGGAAAGGAATCCATCAGTTTCAACTTGGCTCGTCATGTATTCAAAATCAAAATTTTCTGTTTCTAGATAATACATGAATATACATTAGTGTCTGACAAAGAATATATATTATAAATGCTTCGGTAGCTATATTATAAAAACTTCAATCAACAAGAAAAATGGCAACCTTATGCACGAGGTTACCACTAAGTAGGGTTTGGATAAAATAGATATATGGAGCCTTACTCCCCACAATCAGAGAAACTTTTTCAAAGACTTGAACCTGTGAACTTTATTTAGGTCATAAGGCAACAAACTTAAGTTGTGCTGAGGTCCATATACAATTTAATCTATAAAACAAAGGAAAGTAATAAAATTGCATTGAAAAGTCATAGGGAAAACAAATACCTATGACATCTACCAAACTGATCTGTGTAAACTATTGTCTTTCTAGTATTTAGCACCATTCCAGGTAAACTATTTCCACTCTTACTTGATCCAACTAGCTCCGCAGAAGGTAAATCAACATATAAGATGTTTGTATTGGCTGGGAACTCTTCCTGCAAACTTGATAACACAATAAAGTTGATATTTGGGTTACGCATTTCAAATTAGAAGGGCTAAAAGCCAAACAGAGTAAAGATTCCTAATAGAATAGTTTGAAACCAAACCATAAAATCAAGTAAGATAATTTTTGAGGAAACAGATATAAGTCTCTGTTTTCAACAAATAAGATTTAAAGAACACAAAATAAAGCTTAAACTGTTCCTTCATGTTCTTGAGAGGTAGGATTAGGTTTTTTAAGTCCAATTGTTGATAATCTTGACTACATATAACAGTTTGATAATCACCGGAAGAAAAGAAGTTTATTACATCAAATGCATTCATTTTAAAATGAATGGTATGGTTTCCCTGTGAATGCAGGTTTATAAAATGTTTGCCATTCTCAATATTCACACAAATTTCAGGATAAGGTGTTCTTAATCATCAAAGTCATTCGTTTGTAATAATGTGTCTCATTAGAAGAATACATAGCCTAATCATGACAAATAATTTAAAGGTGCACAATATATCACAGAATCTGGAAACCAAATTTGAACATATTAAGCCAGTTTAAATTATGAAAGGTCAAATCACTTTTTGAGATAGTGAAACATTGAAATAAATCAAGTCCAGGAAAATCGCATACCTTTCTGGAGCAAGAGGTCCTGTAGTAATTCCATATTTGTCAAACTCGGTGTATTCAATACAAGACACCCCATATTCCCAGTTACCATCAAGACTTTTCTTCTCCATCAGCACATTAATTCCTTCTGTGGCACCTGAAGTCCGTTTACAAGATGCAAATCCGAGTTTCTGTTAAACAAACACAGTTAAGAAAGCGCTATCACGATTCAACTTGAGATTCTAGACTGTTTAGTTCGATAAATTTCACAGAGAACAGTGTCTCTTTTTTTCTTAAAGATCTTCAGCAAGATAAATTATTAAATAGGAATAATGCTGCAAGGAAACAGTGCATTTAAAGGATAAACAGTTTGACTGTGGTATCTAGTTTTTTTTCCAGTGTATATTATTCACCAAAGTTGCAACTGTCTGAAATTAGTTTATTTACCACATCTTATACATCAGAAATTTTTACACTCGGTAAGGAACTACACATGATAAGACATTATTTACCCTTTATCTTAACATGTTTTTATCTTTGTCAATATACATATAGTGCTAGAAAAGGCTGACATTAAAAATTAAAACAACCTGCACCCACCTTTCCTTGACGTAAACCTATCCCTGCTAAGGCTAGGAGGGTTAAATCTGTAGCTGCCACGACGTTACTGCAAGGTCACACCAGTATTGTAAAAACAAAGTTTCTCTTCCTGAGAAAATCAAACCCTAGAAATATCAATTATAACAACAGACCTGACTTGGCGCAGGGTTGCACCTTTTCTTCCTTGAGAATAAAACCATTTGAAGATGCCTTTGTCATGAGCAAGTTTCCATATGACACCATGACCACCAGGCTTGCTCAAGGGACTGAATGGTTTGGTGACCAGCCACTGACCTTCTTCTGCACCAACAACTGGAACAAGAGGCTGCCAAATTAAAAATTACATATTTAGAGATTGTTAAAAATAAGATTACCCCTTCCGAGAAACATGGTATAGATTTATGTAAAACCTGCTCAAAAAGTTGGAAAGTTGATCGACCTCTCCCAAACCATGAAAGTCTTTCACACAGAGAACTGACGTGTTTATGGTTGTTCTTTGCAGAACTCGTCATAATTGCAACGGGTGTGATGCATTGTTTCTTATATAACTTGAAGTACAAGAACTCTCTAGCCTTGAAATGTGAAATTGAAAAATTAAATATTTCAGCGCCCAACATAAACACTTAATCTTGGTTTTATTATAAACTACTGGGCATAGCAAGTATGTGTTTGATAGTTGGAGATCTAATACCTGAAGATCTCTTATAAGACCTTCCAACAAAGTCCTTCCACAATATGGCAGCATTGCTGCAGGAAGGCATTCACCTGTCTTCGGATCAACCAAACCAAGCCTGTCTGCAGAACCTCCCAAAGGATAAATTTCACCTAGGTCTGGCAAACCCTAGAAGGACAAGATCTTATTAATCCATGTAGCTATGAAGCATCTCAATCTAAATGCAAGTCACGAACCAGGTAATGTAATTAGTCTAACCTCTATACCCCATAGAGCTGCTTGAGATGCATACTCTGTGTCTACAGAAAGGTTATGCCCATTAGGTGCATTAATTCCCAAAATTTGGCTTTCTCTCACTTCACGCGTCTGGTGCGACCACTTTATATTCTGCCTCTCAAATGACTTTTGGACAAGATGTTCCAGTACTGTTATCTGATATCTGCAGAGTATTAATGTTAGCAAACAAACTAGTTGATGCAAATTGACTTATTCCCAAACAACATTCACTCCTATTAAACCAAGTTTATATAAAGTAAAAGAAAAAAAAGACTTGATTGTTTTGGGAATACAGTTTCAAAAAATGGTCTGCAACTGCAATTGCAGCAGCAGAGTCGAGTGCTTTGGGGTAACTGTGATAACCACCCAACATTTGTGCAACCCACCCTTGAAAGCTACCTATTAAGGAGGGGAACCAAATATTTAAATATTCCACCAAACATTCTGATAAGAATAAACCACCTATCACTAAGATATACACCTGTAGGAAACAAACAAAAGAAGCAACAATCCTAGGCCACCAGCAACAAGGCACACAACACTCAAAGGATGCAAAACAACCAACAGTTACAACCCATCCAAGGGGTATAAAGTCAAGGGATGCGAATCACGGGACATAACCCTTGGAATAGAGATATAACCATTAGGAAAAGTTGTATCAATTGGGAAGGGTTGTTAAAAGAAATATAAATAAAAGTAATCCAGATTAGGAAAAACACAAAAAGAAAATTAGGAAAGAATTGTATTGTGGAGAGACAGGCTCTCGAAAGCCTGTGTTATAAAAATATCTCAAAATTATCATTATAGATTTTATTCATTTTTTTCAATCCTGTCTAGTTATTTTCTGTTCTTATCAATTTGGTATCAGAGCACCGTTGAGGTGCTTTACTTCTAAAAATGGTGACAACTTGTTCTAATTCTGATAATCATGTCACAATGAAGAGAATTTTGGAGATGTTGATGGTGGACCAACAAAACCGAGATACAGAATGACAACAACTTGAAACACGTTTTGCACAAATAAAAGCCATGGTAGAAAATTTGTACAATCATTCAGAAAATGGCTTACCCAAAGTTCCGTTAATAGAGAGGAAACACCCAAGAATCACGCTAAGGTAGGAAAAATAGAACGATGGAGAAAATTGAAAATCTCCGTATATGATGCAGAATTTGATGTCTATAGATGGATAAATAAATTGGAACATTTTTTTTTTTAAATGAGAGATGTACTAGAAGAAGATAAAATTCAGGCACTTATGGTGACACTAGATGGAAAGACACTATCTTGGTTCCAATGGTGAGAAACTTGCAACTCTAACATTGGATGGGAAGAATTCAAAGTTTTCATTCTTGAAAGATTCCAAACTTGAGTCACTCTCAATCCTTTTGTTGCTCTCCTTGCACTTAAACAAGAAGAAACGGTAGAAGAGTACATTAAGCAATTTGAAAAGTTTGCAAGTATGTTGCAAATGTTGGTGAAGAACATTTACAGGACATTTTTGTAAACGGATTAAAGGAAAACATTGGGGCAGAAATTAAACTCCATGACCCCCCCCCGCCCCCACTTTATCAATAATGGTCAAGAAGACATTACTGATTGAGCATAAAAACAACAATTTGGAAGGTGAGAACAAATATTGCTTCAAATTCAATCTCTTAGCAAAGTCCATCTTATGCGAATACTATTACTTATGGTGTTAGTAAGAAAGGTTGACGAAATAGTAATGACTCTTCTACTTTTTTTGCTAGCAGGGCATCTGTGAACAAACTAAAAAACAACAACCGACCTAGAAATTTTCAACGATTAACCGAAGCGGAGCTTCAAGAAAATAGGAAAAAAGAAGAATGTTTTCGCTGTGAAGAAAAATGGAGCACCTCTCATGTATGCATAAATAAACAACTTTGAATAATGTTAGTAACAGATGAAGATGATAATGAAAACTCTGAAAAGGAACTCGAATAAGAAATTAGAGAAACACCAAAATTATCCATGAATAGTATTGTGAGATTTACTTCTCGCTGATTCTTAAAGGTTTGGGGAAATATTGATAATTACAAAGTCATAGTATTGATAGATTGCGATGCTACCCACAACTTCATTTCCAAGGATTTGGTAGAAAAACTACAACTAAAAGTGAATGACACTTCGTCATACATGGTCGAAGTGGGAGATGGTCACAAAATCAAATGCAAGGGAATATGTAGAGAAGTTCCTTTGAAAGTGCAATAAATACAAGTACAACAACAATTCTTCTTGTTTGGCCTCGGAGGCGTAGATGTGGTTTTAGGAATGGAATGGCTAGCATGCTTAGGAGAGATTAGAACCAACTTTGAACAACTAACATTGACCCTCAAGATTGATGGTAGAAAGCTGATTTTAAAGGAAGAACCTGAACTTTCAAAGAAAGATGTCTCACTTAATACTATGTTGAAAGCTTTGCATCAAGGAGAAGGGTTCCTTATTAGTTATCATTAGATTCAACCAGAAAGAGATTGGAAAAATTCAATTCCTTTAGAATTAAAAAGATGTGTTAAATGATTTTCCCTCCATCTTTGAATCTCCAAAAGGACTTCCTCCTCAACGACGTCAGGATCATGCCATTCACCTTAAAGAAGGAGCCTGAATACCGAATATTAGACCATACATGTATCTTCACTATCAGAAAACAAAGATTGAAAAATTGGTTGCTGAAATATTAGAAGCATCATACCATCTACAAGTCCTTATTCCGGTCCTGTCATACTAGTCAGAAAGAAAGACGGTAGTTGAAGGTTTTGTGTAGATTACTTAGCCTTAAATAAAATCACAATTCCTGACAAATTTCCCATCCCAGTAATTGAAGAGTTGTTGGACGAAATAGGAGGAATTCATGTATTTTCAAAACTGGATTTAAGATCAAATCAAGATGAAGGAAGATGTCATTGCAAAAACTACTTTCCACCCGCATGAAGGACACTATGAATTTATGGTACTTCCATTTGGACTCACTAATGCACCTTCCTCTTTTCAATAATTAATGAATGAAGTTTTGCGGCTAGTACTCCAAAAATACGCTTTAGTATTCTTCAATGATATCCTAATATACAACCCTTCCATGGAAGAACACAAGCAACACCTGCAAAATGTATTGACATTACTGCAGCAAAATAAATTGAAGATCAATGATAAAAAATATTCATTCCGCCAAGTAAATTTGGAATATCTAAGACATGTTATTTCTGTTGGAGGAGTATCCGCAGATCCTAAGAAGTTGGATGCAATAACACTATGGCCTACACCCAAGAATGTCACCAGCTTAAGGGGATTCTTAGGTCTTATCGGCAATTATAGAAGGTTTGTTCATAATTATGGAAGAATAGCGAGGCCATTGACCAACCTGCTAAAGAAAAATGCCTTCCAATGGAATCTAGATGTGCAAATTGCCTTCGAACAACTTAAACAAGCCATGACCAAATTATCTACATTAGAAATTCCTAACTTTTCAAAGCCTTTTGTGGTTGAAACTGATGCTTGCGGAACTGGATTAAGGGTTGTTCTAATGCAAGAAGGAAGACGCCTAACCTTTTGGAGCACTTTCCTATCTGAAAGAAACAAGAGGAAATCAGTATATGATTGTGAATTGATGGTAGTCGTGAAAGCAATTCAAAAATGGCAGCACTACTTGTTAGGAAGCCATTTTATTATTAAAACTAACCAAAAAAGTTTGAAATTTTTGATAGATCAAAGAATACTCAGCGAGGAACAATACAAATGGATCTCCAAATTGACAGGATAGGATTTTGAAATACAATACAAACCAGGAAAGGAAAACTCTGTTGCCGATGCATTTTCCAGGAGAAGTTCCTATTATGCCATGTCAGTCTTACAAATTCAAGATTTCGAAGAGTGAACTAAAGAGATCAAACAAGACAATAAATTACAAAAAAGTATGCAAGACCTAATTATTGATCCGACATCTCATAAGGGTTATACATTGAGGGATCAAAAGTTATTTTACAAGGAGAAATTGGTGTTATCCAAGTCTTTCTCCTGATTCTAATCATTTTAAAAGAATTTCATTCATCCTTAGTAGGAGGACATTCAGGTATCTTCAGGACTTACAAAAGAATAGCAAGTCTAGTGTAATGGGAAGGGATGAAAACCGACATAAAAAATGTCGTTGTTGCTTGCGAAGTTTGTCAAAGAAACAAAAATGACAACTTATCTCCAGCAGGACTGCTACAACCATTACCAATCCCAACTCAAGTATGAACAGATATTTCTATGGATTTTATTGGAGGACTGCCCAAATCCATGGGGAATGATACAATCTTGGTGGCGATTGACCGAATCACTAAATATGTCCACTTCATACCATTTGGGCACCACTACACCACTATCGAAGTTGCTGCAATATTTCTACAAGAAATTGTGAGATTGCATGGATTTCTGTCTTCCATTGTTTTAGATCATGATCCTCTATTTTTAAGCAATTTCTAGAAATCACACAACTGAAGTTCAGTTCAGCATACCATCCCCAAAGAATGGACAGACGGAAGTGGTCAACCGATGTTTGAAAGTTTATTTATGATGCTTAACTAGAACAAAGCTTAAGAAATGGGTCTCTTGTCTTCCATGGACCGAATTATGGTTTAACACCAATTATAATGCTTCCAGCAAAATGTCCCCTTTCAAAGCTTTTTATGGACATGATCCCCCTCATATTCTTAAGGGAACCACCATTCCTTCCAGCCTTGAAGAAGTCAACAAGCTTACAATTGCTCGAGATGAATTATTGGCTACTCTAAGAGAGAATTTGCTAAAATTGCAAGATGTCATGCGAACAAATGCCAACGTGATATAGAATATGCAGTCAAGATGAATTATTGGCTACTCTAAGAGAGAATTTGCTAAAATTGCAAGATGTCATGCAAACAAATGCCAACGTGATATAAAATATGCAGTCGGTGATTAGGTATTCTTGAACATGCAACCTTACAGGAGAAGGTCCTTAGCTAAAAGGATTAATGAAAAACTCTCCCCTCGATTTTATGGTTCTTTCCAGGTGTTAAAAAAAGTAGGTATTGTCGCTTACAAATTGGATCTTCCATCTCATAGTAAAATTCATCCCGTCTTTCATGTCTCTCTCCTCAAGAAGGAAGGCTATTGGTGATTCTTTCCGGTCACAACCTTTACCATCTATGTTATCTATCTATGTTATCTGAGAATCAAGAATTACAGGTTTATCCAGACTCTATTTTAGATATTCGTGAACTACAACTTGACAACGTGGAAGTTTTAATTCAATGGCAGAATCTCCCTCCGAGTGAAAATTGTTGGGAATCGGTGGCTAAAATACAAGAGGTTTTTCCAACTTATCACCTTGAGGACAAGTAAGTCTTTTAGGCAGGGGTATTGATAAGATTAAACCACCTATCACAAAGATATACACCCGTAGGAAACAAACAAAAGAAGCAACAATCCTAGACCACCAGCAACAAGGCACACAACACTCAAAGGATGCAGACCAACCAACAATTACAACCCATCCAAGGGGTATAAATTCAAGGGATGTGAATCAAGGGGCATAACCCTTGGAATAGAGATATAATCATTAGGAAAAGCTGTATCAATTGGGAACGGTTGTTATAAGCAATATAAATAAAAGTAACCCAGCTTAGGAAAGGCACAAAAAGGAAATTAGGAAAGAATTGTATTGTGGAGATAAATGCTCTCGAAAAACTGTGTTATAAAAATATCTCAAAATTACCTTTATAGATTCTATTCATTTTTTTCAATCCGTTATTTTCTGTTCTTATCACATTACATGCTACTACTCCATATGGACATAGACACCCCAATAATACCGAAGTCCCTATTAAATTTTGACTACAATTGCGGCTGTATAAGGCGCATTCTGCAATCTCCCACTCTGTCGAGGAACTGGAACTAAGCTAAGTTGGTAGGGACTTCAAATAATGATGGAAAGCTGAACAAATTCCTTTGCTTAAGAACTTATTAGAGCATAAAAAGAGAAAACAAGTACAGGAGATTTATGCCCTTTCTGTCCACCTCATAAACCTAATGTCTGTTCCAACAAAATGTTAATCAAATTAAAAGGCACAGTAGTTCCGTTCACAAATTTACTACTACGTACTCACACAAGTCAATCGTAATAAAATTGCTTTCAGTTCGCTTGTTAATGTATTAAAGAAGCAAAAGCAAGGTAGTTAATTTTATTCCATCTCTATCCCATTTGTTCCATACGAAGCAAATGGTAAAAGTAGGAAAACGAAGAACTGACCCAATAATTCCACCAATACAGTCATAGAATCGCTCGATTTCTGCCAAAGTCTCTAACAACTTCTTTAATTCCATAATCTCGTGATCCTCCAACGCCATCCCCAAACCCGTACCACCATTGCCACTATAGGAATCCAAATTCTCAATCATCTCCGCTATAACGTAGAGTGCGCTTTTCACGGCACTCGCGGCGGCTGCGGCTGATTCCAGCGCTTCGTTTTCGTCCAAATAGAGCACGTGCTCCTGCCCGGCGGCAACCACGCACTTAAGCAGGAACAGTTGGTCGGAGCTCAGCCGGAACGAGGCCAAAACACTGGAGAGGCCGCGGCGCGAGCCGAAGAAGCGCTTCACTCTGGAATCGGCGTTGAGCACTCGAAGCTTATCGCCGAGAGTGGCGCACGCCGCGAGCCTGTGACGGAGCGCAGCGAGGCGCGCGATTTCGCGATGGAAGTTGAAGTCGTTGGGCGGTGGCTGGGAGACCTCCAAGGTCTCTGTGGAGATTCGGGCGACTCGACAACATGAAGAGAGAGAAGAGGGAAGAGAGAGAAATTTGGAGAAAGAGAGGGAGTGGGAATGAGAATGAGAATAAGAAGGTTGGGAGCCGAAGGAGAAGAGGAAACGGTTATTATGGGGAAGAAGAGAAGTGGAGTGAAGCATTGTTGAAGGGTGTGTTTGTGTTGTGTTGTGTTTTGAGTTGGAATATGCAATTGATTATTGATTATGGATAAAGAGAATAGCAGTGAGTCTGAAGTAGTTGGGGATGGAGAGAAGATGCTGGAAGCATATACTCTCTATCCTCTTCTTCCTTCTCGGATTGGCCCTCTTATTTCACATTCTTCTCCTTTCTCTCACACACCTTACTGTCCACAAACATATCTTAATGCTTTCTACAGTATAACATTTGGACTCTCACTATTTACTACTAGATCACTTTCGGGTTAATTTTTTAAGCACGTTTAAAACATTATAATATGGAATAAATCATAATTTGAAGTACCCACATTGTATACTATTATTTTTATTTTTATTTATAATTGTTAATGTGAAATATTTGTCAGTTTTATTAATTAATCAGTAATTTTTTTGAATAATTAATTAATCATTTTCCGCTACATTTTTAATGTGCACTGCGGCCTTGTATTTGTCATCAAGTGCTTTTTAATATGTACAAATTTTAATGTTTAAAACTAAGAGAACTCGCGATACATTTAAAGTGAAGATTATTAATAATCATGAACATGTCAGTCCCTTGTTAAAATTGAATGGTCAAACCCCAAAAACCTTAGATAGTTTAAGATAATTTGGTGTCATCATCAGAACAAACATATCTGTCAAAATATTTTCCTATTGCTTTAGTTAAATTCTTAGGATTCAGATTCTTTAGATTCCATTTTGAAAATATAATTATCCTTTCATTAATATTTATTTTCTCTTTTCTTTTGAAATTTCACACCTATTGACTACAAATTGTTACTTTCATATTTTATAAAATCATATTTAGATGAGAATACGAGAGAAACACTGTAAAGTGTTATACAGTTCATCAGTTTTATACTTTTTAATTCTTATATTGGTTCCTAATAATCAAGTAATCAATACATTTTTTACTGATATAATATTACTGTAATATATATATATATATATATAACATAACCTTTTATTAAATTATTTACTTAATTGGATATTTGTCTTATTGCACTTAAAATTCGCTTTCCTATAAATCGAATTCCAATTTTAAACTTACCACTTTTTTTTAAATAAAAAATTAAATAAAATATATAATTAAAAATAAAAAAATTATATAAAAATAATATTAAAATAAATTTTAATTTTAAATTTTAAATAATATTTATATATAAAATAATAAAAATAATATATTATTTAAATATATATTAAATTATCTAAATATATTTAAATAATTATTAAAAATATTAAATAATAATTTTTTATTATATTTATATATATATTTATTTATTTATTTATTTATTTATTTATTTTTGAATAGAAAAATTAAAATTTATATATTTTTTTAATTATATGAATTATTTAAGTTATAATTTTAGAAAAAAATTGATAAATTTAATATATAAAATATTAAAAGTAAAATTAAAAATAAGTTATTAGTAGCAAAATAAAAACTATAGAACATGATATTAAAGAAAAATAAACTTATTGAAATAGAAATAAATGATAAAACATACCTTGTAATTGAAAAATGATTAATTATAAAAGACATACATAGAAATTGAAATGAATTAAATGAAAATGAATTAAAAGAGCTATATTGAAATTAATTTACAATATTTCTAATCTGGTAGATCTTTCTCTTCCTTTGTTGTCAATGTAACTCATCGTCTCTAGTATCTCTTTGAAGTTCTTCAATGGTTATTGCATAGCGCAGATCAATAATTTTAATAAATAATTCAATATTTCTCCATGTTTGGTCACGTTGCACGCTTCTATGTATTGTTTTATACTTTTTCGATTTGTTGCACATCAAAATCAGTTTTGATTTCTATGGAGTCGTGAAATAGTTTATTGTTGATAACTTAGATTGGACGTCGATAATTAATCTTTGTTATTTGTTTACAATCTCCATAATCCAGTATTTCACTAATTCTTTGAAAAAATTGGTTGAAAGACCAATTGTGTTCAACTACCATTGTCCTTGGATAAAAGCTTGTGTAAATAAGTCCAAAACCGTATGAAGATTCCTTGATGGTAGCATGTTGGAGAGGTCCGCCGAAATAAAGTATGACTTTTGTAGAAGTAATGAGTTGATTGTTTGATGAAAAGGTAGTGGGAGGTGGGTTTAGAAGCATGATAATTTGTTCATGTATTCTGACTAATATGACATTAAGTTCAATTATTGTATCTATAGAAAATTGAGACTTCCAAGCAAGCATTTGCGCTACATGAACATCAGTTAATATAGGAATGATATCATATGCTAGTAAATTCTCACAGTTCAAATTTGGTTTACAATAATACAGCTTTCTGAATGTTGTTTCATGAGGAAGAGCTAGAACAGTACATATTTTTTTGTTTCAGCTCCATGAAGGTACACTGGTATGGGATTCGAAATAAATTAGGCGATGGACCATGGTAGCTTACACCTTGTTCGTTGTGTAAAATTTCACCATTTGCAAAGACAACAGCTAGGTAAGAATTTGTGAAATGTTGACTATTGGTGATGCCAAACTCTTCCATCTAAAGATTTTTTAGAGAATGAGAATGATAATGAGAATTTTTATATTTCGTAGTTGTAGTGCATTTGTTGAAAGATGTAATGTATGCTATTTATAGACAAATGATAGGAAAGGTGAATATAAAATGTGGATGGTGGAGATTTAGGTTATGTAATTGAACAATTGAGATTCATTGTTCGTTTCCCTAAGCATTGTTAATGTGTCACAATCCTTATCAGAGTGATGATAAAAGTGGTCACAAATTTTTGCATAAATAAAGACTAAGCAGTATTGATGTGTTATAGTTTGTATCAGAATGATGATAAAAGTGGTGAAAAGCTAGGTTGGTGATTGTGACTAAACAATATTGATGTGTCACAGTCTTTATTAAAGTGATGAGAAAATTTGTCAAAAAGTTCTCTTGGTGATTGTGACTAAACAATATTGATGTGTCACAGTCTATATTAGAGTGATAAAGAGTAAACATTATTCATGTTGATTATATTAGTTTAAGGTTTAGAGTTGACATGAAAGACGTTAAATAAAACTTCATTAATAACATTGATCTAAACATCATAGATGAAACAAAACAATTTCTAAACAACATAAATTAACTACGTGAAATAGAAACACGAGTAATGTTGGGACATGTTTTCTTGGTATGACCAGGGGTATGACAATATGAACAATTTTTTACACGACCATGTTGTTCTATAATGTCCATCTCTGTTCTTATTCGGCCTGACTTAGGTCGACCCTTTGAAGTTCTTTTCAATTCTGGGTTTGGGCACAAAGTTGGGCCTGTATAAGTTGGCCAATAGTCTTCATGTTTGAGTTCTCCAAATTGTTGCTCATACACCTTAGAAACTTGTTGTAATGTATACACTAGAGCGATGTACATGTTAAAGTCATGGTGTGCGTGTTTGCATGCTGCAAGTACATGCGAGCATGGCATATGAACTTTTTGAAACTTCCCACAATCACACCATAACTCATCTAATCTAACTGTAAATCTATCTGTTAGTCGAACTTCTCGCGGATGTTCAGTCTCTTCCACTACAAATCTTGTGCTTGATCTATCGAAATTTATAACTCTATGGGTGTTCGCCTTTGAGTTGCATCTTGCAATATTTTTGAAGCAACTTCGGAGTATATATGACCAGTTGTGATCATGGCATTTACCTCCCTACCTCTTTCTGTAAAGAATTTGTTGCAACGGGTGTATGTTGTCATCACCATGGAGCATATTGGAAGGTTTCTTGTTTTCTTTAGGACTGAATTAATTGATTCTGCTAAGTTTGTTGTCATGTGTCCCCACCTTCTTCCGTTGTCCCATGCAAGTGTCCATTTATCTCTTGGAATCTCATCCAACCATTGTGCTACTTTCAATTTATTATCTCTTACTATGTGCATCACTTTTACAATCTTGGGCATGGCATCGCATGCCATATATTGCCCCAATTTCTAAACTTCCACCAACATACTCATTGGTCTGCAAATGGAGCGGAGGTAGAGTGTTAAACTTTAAAAATGTACCTCACAATGATGTTATCAGGTATATAACTATGTTTGATCACATTCAAACTGATCAGGTAAATCTTCTTTTAAAATTATTAATTCATTTTTTTTAATTTTTGGTTTTTTTAATAACAAAAATTATTTTTTGGTGGAAGTTTTTATGGATCCCATATAAGGACTTGCAAAGATCAGTCCCAGTTCAAGCATTTAGGGTAGTTCAACCATTTAGGGATGCTTAATTGTGGACTACATGTACAACCATCATTTGTTTTGCAATTGTTGAATGACACCAATTTGATAGAGTGAAGTTACAATTTGGTTTATTCCAAAAAATCATTTCTCCACCAAATAATTTGGATGACCTACACAACATTGATATGAGGGAAAGACATGACGAAAATTGGATAATAAAACATGCTCACTGAATTGATATATGGAATAATAGACGTCAATTGACATTAGTGGGTCATTTAATGCAAGACACATTATTTCACATAATAGAATACATGCAATGGTACAATGTCAATTCTATTATTTTTCTATATGTACCACAATTACTCAAAGATCCAAGAGTCCGCCAACAACCACGGGCTGGAGTCACTTTTGAAACTGATGCAACTTTCATATCATCGTATAAGGAGCCTTAACAACCTGTTTCCTTACCTCAACAATTTGTGACGCCAGAACCAAACACAATTGACAGAAGACATTCTTTTGCAACAACCTCAGAGGATATCTTCTCAAACTTATTTGGAGTAAATTTTTCAACTCCAGCTTCAGCTCAAGCTTACATCAATTCTCTTTATCAACCAGATTATGCTAACCAACCAGGTAGTTCTTCAACTACATTCCAAAATCTGGAGGTTCATGAAGAAGAAAACCCTCCAGAAATTTCTCCTGAAATTCAAGAACTACACCGACAAAATCTAAAACGTAATAGACGTCATCCTCGTTGTGTAATCGAACACCTCTTTGGAGATTAAAATTTTCTTAACATTATTGTCACTAATTTTATTTTTCAATTTTTATTATCAATGATTATGTTATTTTTAATATTATACATTAAATTCTGTCAATTTTTATTATTTTTTATTTTTAAGTTTATTTTATATTAATAATAATAATAATTTTTAACTAATTAAATAATATTTTTACTTTATTATTTAAAAAAATAATTTTAGCATGAATTTTTTAATATAATATTTATAATTTATCAAATAAAAACTATTACATAAATTAAATTTTATTTATTCTATTTTTTTCTAAAATTATAACTTAAATAATTCATATAATAAAAATATATATAAATTTTAAATTTCCTATTCAAAAATAAAAAAAATATATAAAAGAATATAATAAAAAATTATTATTTAATATTTTTAATAATTATTTTATTATTTTGATATAATTTTATTATTTTTAATTATATATTTTATTAAATTTTTTATTTAAAAAAAGTAGTAAGTTTAAAATTGAAATTCAATTTAGGAGAAATCAAATTCAAGAGGTTATGTTACGTGTGTGTGTGTATATATATATATATATATAATATTATTATTTCTGTAAAAAATTCCATTTAATACCTGCACTTATCTTTAAAATTTTCTTCTTCAGATTATGCGAGTCTTTCCTCTTTTATTTCTTTCAATTATCTTCATCTCCATGCCTTTTATGTCTTGCCACTCCTTCTAATTGAATTTTCTTTTTGCATTATTTCATCACAGACTGTCATACTTGTTTTAAAAAATAAAACAATATTCAGAAATTAAAAATATTAATTAATAAACTCTAAAGAAAATTTAAACCATAAAATCACTTGCTTCTAAGATCAAGTATATTTATTATTAGCATAATCAATAGAAAATCAAAATCTAACTCAAAACGTGTATCCAAGTACGCTGAACAAAGGCAATTGCAGTCTCAACATTTCGTTGAAAACAGTCATAAATATCCACAAGAATAATCTCAACCAGTGCTCGCTATTTATTCAATTTCAGTTGAAAAAAAAAAGTTTGAGAATTCTCAGAGCCAATCGAGGCTTTCCGAAGTTGCATAATTTAGAATTTCATACACGGTCGCAATGCGAGGAGCATCAACTTATCTGCTATGACCCTCAAGGGAATGTCTACTCCAAAAACTGATCCTAAAAATCCTCGACGCTGAAACAGTGCCCTTTCTCGATTTAAAGTCCGATTTTAAACAACTTAAAGTACTAGCCATCATTGACAGACAGCAAAAATGTTTAATGATTCAGAGTAAAATAAGAAGAAAAGAATCTTAGTTTTGAACTCTGCCTCTAAGAAGGAGCTGAGAAGCTGAACCTAAAACCAGTCTTCCCACGATCATGTTCACTCTGCTTGAGTACGTAGTAGAAGTTACCCTGAAACAATGATAAATGTGAAAATGAAAAATTCGTAGGAGTTCTTGATAAATAACATTAAAATACAAATTTGGGAAGAAGGTCAGGTGAGGGGAAGGGGCACACATAAGAAAAGAGATTGAATAACTTCGTCAAAAATTGTCAACCTTGTAACCAAAACTGCCTGTTTCCCTAAATTATGTTATCAGCAGTTGAAAGAGTAAAAAAAAATATTTCAGGGGACTTGCAACAATATCAGAAGTTGGATAAAATGTTTGTGCAGATAATTTTATAAGTAAAATAAGTGCTAAGGTCAGAACCACATTTTAAGGGATATAAAAAGAAAAACTACACAACTTGCCCAAGGTTCAAATATAACAAATAAGACTAACTATCCCGAAGACTTCTATGAATTCCTTCGTCTTTAACATTTCCCGTCAAAATTATTCTTCCCAAAAAATATAATTGGATAATTTTACCATCTGCTCAATTATATAGAAGAGTAATTGAAACATGAACTAACCTCTAGGCGAAAAAGTTTAGTAGGAACAACAAATCCACATCCAACTGAAGTCCGAAAGGAATCTAAGAACTTCCGAGGTGAAAAGCGCTTATATTCATTCTGAGTCAATTTTGCAGTATTCCCAGCACCAGCAAAAACATGACCATGGATTCCATGATTTCTCAACCACCTAATTGGAAGATCAAAAGACAGGTCTGCAAATGCCGTAACAGCAAGATCTCCTCCAATGAAGTCCCATCTAGAGGAATCATCATTGTCATCAATAATTCCATCTCTAGTTCTCCTTCGTGGTTCAGTAGGACCTAATCCCCTAGTTTTAAATCCCCACAATGTTATTGGTCCACCTAGGGTGCAAACTGGAGAGAAATCACCACCCAAATAAAACCTTTCAGGAAGCGGAGATGACTTGTTCATGAAGTCATGCCCCCATGGAAAAACAGCACCAGCAGAAATCCCAAGGTTAAGAGCTGTGTTATAAAACCCAAAGGGGATGGCACAGCGAACATCAAATTCCTGCATTAGAAGAGTCAACCGAGTTAGTTAAGAAAAGAAATGTATCTAAAATGAGCTTAGAAAATACAATATATTAGATAATCAACAACAATAACTAGTTATACATGTGTTACCGAACATGCCTTCAAAGATTGCCCCATTCCCAACATTTAAAAATCACGTGGATATTATCCATCCCCCTATATTAGTCCAACAAAACAGTTTCCAGGCGGATGGTCACAAATTGCATTTTGTACAATCAAGTTCTTAATATACGTTTTCTGAATCACACAACATATATAGCACCTATTGAAGAAGCATAAGGCCATATCCAACCAACTATGCCCTAGTCCCATGATTTTTCAAATAGTGGGAGTAACCAAATAGGTTGTTCTTCAGCTTGTACGTTCATCATCCTACTAAGGCAAAGCAAGGGCATTCTTTCATTATGTGGAAAGACCACACTTGGTCAAACAAGCACCTCATGCACTGTCTACACAGCTGGAAAAATTAAAAATAAATTATGTAATCACATATACGAAAAGAAGAATATTATTACAGACAACAGATTCTGAATTTTTCAAATGTCCAGGAAGATGAACTCTAATCATACCCAAAAGAATGGGAGGTTTTAACCCTGGTTTACAAATCTTCATTTAAATCTAATTCTTGGAATGTGGAAAGGATAAAGAATCAGAAAATATTTTGTATTGTTCCAACAAATATATAGATTGGTACCAAACATATAGACTCTAATTAGTATATCCCAAATAGGAGTTACAGGGAAATAAATTTGGAATAAAAATTTGAGCAAAACCATATCCTCCTAATTACAGTAATTAATTATAAATATATAGCTATAACAATGTATTCCTGTAAAATTTTCTTGTCTGCATCAATTTAAAAAGTATAGCACCCAAATATAATTTCAATTGGTATCTATCACTTAACAGATATTATAATGTTTTATTAATGACATACAATTGCATTTCTGCTGATTAATGAAAGGACAAAAAAAATGATCTAATTGCACCTGGCGTAGAAATCGCAAGCTCCGATGATCTGGTGTAAGGCCACCAAAGTGAGTAGTGGAAAGAAAAGCATATCCATTTGTAGGCCTAATAGGTGAGTTTCTCCTGTCAATTTTAAATGTATACTTCAGAGATGATAATAAACCATGCCCAAGCTGCCTCCTTATAGACCTGGATGACATTTGTGATGGATCGGTTAAGGTACGCCATCCAAGAGTGTAGACTAAGTCATGATGCCTTGTTGAGATTAAGCCAAGAGACAATCCTAACAACTGCTCTTTGTAGGAAGAAAACTCTTGCCAATCTTGGGAAAGCATGGAAAGACGTGCTAGAAGAGGAGTTAACAACCCTTTCAGTCTAGGAGCAAACACTCCTACACTCACCTCTGTTGCTTGGTTGCCACCATAGGCCAAAGAGGCATCCCATAGATCACCATAACCTAACAAGTTTTTGTATTTAAGACCCCCTTCAGCAGTCCAAGAACTCGTCTACAATAGTGTTGCAACATTTCCAAAATGAAAATATATGTATGTTAGTAGATTAAGACCAAATCATAATCAGCAGATCAACATACAGCTTCCAATAAAACAAGACTGAAACAGAAAACCTTCTACTTCACGACAAGTAAAAGATTATAACTGAAAATTCATAGTCATGATCAGACCTCTATATTTGTTCATAAGGCAAAAAATCATATCTTTGTCCAAACCTGATAACGTTTAAAAAATTCCATCAAGTTGGAAGTCAAAGAATTTGTAGTATCTTCCCAATTATTACCCATAACGCTATCCTTTCAAATACTTTTCACCATCCAGATAGTCAATAATACGTAAAAGAAAGTGGTATCGAAAAACAACTCCTCATCCCTAAGCATAATACCAATAGCCAATAAGTAAACCAAAAGTACATAGTTGTTTGCTTTGCAGTATAAAAGCTTTCATATTATTGAGGTGGCAATAAGCAGGAAATCTGCTTCCCTTACATCCCTGATTCTATAATTTAGGATAAGCAGGTCAGTATTTGTCTAATGCCTCCTTTGATAATAGTCAAAGATTATACGAGAAGATGACATTAACCTCTTAAGAGCAGGAAGATTAAGTGTTTTCTTAACAATTCAACCAAACCAAGAGTTTATGGAAGAACAGATGATCGGGAAATGACACTTTTACCGTAAAGATAAACCTAGTCCAAGGATGCCTAAATATTTTTTCATTTTTCTTAAATGATTACATATTTACTGTTTGGTGTTTGCACTACAGTACAGACATTTGAATTGAGAAGCTACAACCTCATACCTAAGAAGAAGTGCATTCTCATATTATTAATTACAAATTATTTGAATGCTTTAAATAACGGAAACATAGCGCAGAGACCCACATAGAATGAATTCAATCTAGAGCAATCTCAACAGAGAACACGAAACAATAATAGAGAGCTAAATTGTACCGAGGGTTTGGTGTAAACGCCGAATTCACCGGAGACTTTGTTGGCGGTCTCGACGACGTCGACGACGACATTGGCAGTATGAGGAAGCTCCGGCGGCCCGGCCTGGAGCGTGAGCTCGGTGGACTCGAAAATCTCTAGGCTCTGGAGCCTGGTGAGGGCGATTTCGGAGGCGCGAATGAGCTCCTGCACGGTGGAGGCGTCCTGGAGAAGCTTGAGCTCCGCCTCAATCACCCAATCCTTGGTCTTCGTGTTGCCTCGAATCAGCACGTCGTGGACGCGGATAGGGACCAGCTCGGAAGCCAATCGCCGGGAGAGGGTTTGTAGCTTCGAACGCTGCTCGCGCAAACTCGACAATGAGGATCGGTCGTTCCGATTATAAGGCTCGTGCGAAACGACGTCGTCGTCGTCGTCGTCGCCGTCATCTTCTTCCTCTTCCTCTTCCTCTTCGTCTTCTTGTTCGTCGATTTCGTCGTCGTTGGCATTCTTAGGGTTTGGAGAGAAGGGAAGTTGTTCGTTTCTTTCGTCTGAGTTTTCCATTGATCGGATTCGGAGGCAGTTTACGTGCTGAGTTGGACAGAAGGAGGAGTGTGATGTGCTTTTGTCTGTGTGAGTAAAAGCAACGCCAAATATTTTTTGCGTTTCCTCTTCTTTTTTCGATAACAAGTGTATGTATTTTTCTAAATTAAATATTGTGATAGAAATGCAATAAAATGGACATTATAAAATTAAACTTGTATTTTTAATGAAGTAGATATTATCATTGAATGATTTATAATATCATTAATACAAATTAAAAATTCCTTTAATTAAATAAAATAAAAATGTCAAAATTGAGCATTTTTTATTTATTAAATATGTCAATTCAGACTAATTAATTTACTTTATATTTTTAGTTTATTTGCATTGTGATTAATTTCAGTTTGGACATTAAACTTTTGATTTATAAATTTAATGAATCCAAATAAAATCATTGTTTTTATAATTAAAATGTTAAGTCTAAAAGTTACAAAGAAATCGAAAGAATAGATGAAGTCCGAGTGGACATCAAATGGTTAGAAGAAATGAAAGCAAAAATCGAGAAAGACATATCGAGACAGAAAAATAGTTAGAGCTGAGTTTTTCGAAAAAAGACAGAATATCAATAAATTGATAATCGAGGAATTAAAAGTGAAAAGCATCGACAAAATTAGAAATCGAAGACTTAAACAGATGGAGAACATGGACACGAATATATCGAAAAAAAGTTACAAGAAAGATCTTCAAGTGCTATATCGAAAGACTGATGAAGGCGGTTAAACAACAAGTTCCGCAAAATGTGCAAGTTACAAATAAAAGTGTGTCAACATAATGAAGTAGTTACACAAGAATAACTGTTTGAAATATTTTAATTTGTAATTTTTATTTTATTATTTTTATGATTGCTTTAGCGATTACAAGAAAATAATATATAGGATAAAATAAAGATAATTAGAGGTGATTGTCAAATTGTACAACCTACATTCGACAAATGTTGTGAACTGAGAACAAACATTTTTAATGGAGTTCTTTGCGATTTAGATCGTCACTTTAGTTGATTTTCTCTACCAATTTTTGTTTTATCCTTAATAATGAGTTATATTTATTTTTATGCTATTTAATTTCCTACACATTTATTTTTCAATAATTTACTTTTACAGTTATTTTATTATTCTTGTAAATTATCTTAAATGTTTCAGATTATATTAAATATAAAAATTGAATGCGAATAATCTTTCATTGAAATTCATTGTGTAGTATATTGGCCCAAGAAGAATAGAATGGAGAAGAATGTGCATTATATTGAATGTTGATTGATGCTGAAACCGGATATAGTTTAATAGAGAAGTTAATGTTAAGTTTGTATTATGTGTGTTGCAAATTGAAACATTGTCTTAAACCTTGTGATGTAATCATTTTTACGAGAAATAATATATTAAAGTTGTTAGTGTCAAAGCCTATTTTCCATAATCGAGTGGGCAAATGGATGTTGATGTTAACAAATTTCTCATTACAGTTTGAATCTTTAAAATCGATTAAGGGACAAGTTGTTGCTGACTTTTTGGCATATCAAATGCATGTGCAAGTTGAAGAGATATGTTTATTGGAAAGTGATAGATGAGTTCTATATTTCGATGGTTCTAGTACCACGAATGGTTCTATACAATGCTTATGTTATTGTTCATTGTTATAACTATCAAACAAGATTTTTGATCAATGACAAATATTTAAAATCATACAAGACTCATCAGGTATAGGTAAATGCTACATAAAATTGAGAAAATAAAGTCATTGTATATATATAATAAAAATTAAGGTACAAAATAAAATTAAGAACTATGTTCTTATCTAAGTTTGTTAAATTTGGCAAGCACAATTTCCCACGCATTTGATATTGAAACTCTCTGATGTTTGACATCTGCTAGCCTAATCATGTAATCATGAAGACTAATGACTAAATCCTTGGAGGTGGCAAGCAAACTACGAGATTCTCTTTCAGTAGTTGATTTGGAAAGAGAAAATTCATTTAAGAAGCCTCGATTTGACATTGGATGTTGAGTAATATTTGTTTGAATGCTGCACATTTGTGTTGTTCCTCGATTAGTAGATTGGCATACTCAGATTGATTTTCTTCAGCTTTTCAAATTTGTATTTTTTATAATTTAGCAATTCGATTTTTGTGACATGAGCAAGTTTGATTTCAACATTCTTGAAATCTAGAGTTACACGTTTTTTCCTCAAAGCTCAACTTTTATTGAATAAATTTGTGATAATGTTAACTTCTTTGTCGAAACCTTGAAAAATTTGCTCAAGTGAGATGACTTCAATTTTGTTAAGATCTCTTGAAGCTCTTGTTTCTTGTGTGGCATCTTGATGATAGTCTCAAGAGATGAGGAAGAGATACAAGATCTAAACTACTTGACCAAGTTCATAACATCGGAGCTCAATGAGGGAGTGGACAAAGAAGAGGTAGTTTCAAAAACTTTCCCATGTGTTGTTATGAGTTTTAAGATGTTGAATGAGTCCCTTTCGATTTCATCCATAAATATACTTTGACATTTAGAGTAAATTTTAGAGGAGGGACCCACTAAAGGAAGATCAATAGTCTGGGGAGTTTGTTCGATTGTGATGGAACTGCAGCAATTTTAAGAGATTCTGCAATGATATGTGTAAGAATTGTTAACTATTGAAATGTTTTATTTTTTTATGAAAAGGAATTTATGAACAAAGGGATTTGGATTGGTACCTGGAATAATTGGTTCATGTTGAATCTCGACTAAAGTAAGTTGACTTTTGGCGGGAGTGAGAGTGTTATGTACAACAGACGTTTCCTATTTTATGTTAGGAAGTCAAAATTAATATTTGAACAAATTGAAAATTGATTAAAATAAACAATAAATAATGTACCTTATTTGGAGAAATGGAACGTGGGGGATCAGTGGAGACTTCAACTACAGATTCTAAATTGTTTGAAATATTGGTTGAAGCCTCTTTCTGTAGAACTCGAGATAATTATGATAAGCCTCAAATCATGTATTAAGGAAAGAGTTTGGGGGTAGTATGAAAGTTATATGAAATTTGACCTAGATCTTCTTTTGGATCCGACGGGTGAGTGAGTTGTTGTCCTCATCATCAAATTCTGATTCGATGATGGTAGGTGCTGTGAGAGGAGTTTCGGTGGTAGGTGATGCAGAGATATGATGATAATTTTTTTAGTGTTGATGCAGTTAAAGAATATACTTGTCTTATGAAGAGGTGAGTATTACCTGTATAGATGGATGTGGAGTGGAGTTCGAAGATGTCATTTTCGATTTGGATTTTTCTGAAATAACATATGAATTGATTAGGAAGAATCGATGATGTAAAATCGAGTAAATAAAGAATCTAAAAGCACTGTGGGGAGATTGAAAGCATTATGAGAAGATTAATACAATGTGAAACATTTTCCTACATTCTGAAGAAGATGATGTTGATGAAGATTCAAGTCAACACCGTTTAATACTCAAGCAAGCCCAAGATGAAAACTGAAGACTAGATATACATTATGAAGAAGATGATTTTTGATAAAGATTTAAGTCAATACCATTCAAGATTCAAGTAAGCCCAAGATGATTCCTGAAGACTAGATAGAGTCTTAGAATACTGGATTTAGAGGTACAAGTTGATGAAGTGGTATTATGCATAAGCCTCCAAAACACAAGTGTGATAAAATTTAGTAATATGACATTTTTCATTATCATAATCGATTATGTGAGGGTCATAATCGATTATATCATCAAATAAACATAATAAGACATTTTTTACTGTCTTAATCTATTATATAAGTGACATAATCGATTATATAAATCTCATCATCGATTATGTAAGTGTAATAATCGAGTATTATGCATTAGAAATGAAAAATTGATTTTCTCTGTCATAATCGATTATACTAGTAACATAATCGATTAGAGAATTCTTTTTAGGCAAACTAAATCTTTAATCAATTTATTAATTTAATATAAAAATATTATAAGATAAGTATAACAAAACAAAAATGAGAACTTTTGTGTACACATAAAAAACAAAAAGGCTTTAGATTTTTGGAATGTATTCGAACCCAACAAAATTGGACTTATAAGGAAGTTAAGCCCAACCACCCCGGAGGCTAAATTGGTCCGGCCCACCACCTACACTCAAACAAATAAAGTACAATCTCGACCATTTCATTGCCGCTCAGACTCAAATTCAAATCCGGACCACGACGACCACCGCTACCGCCGCCGCTGATTCAATTCCAAGATGGTGAACGTGGACGAACTCTTATCTTCCTTGATCTCAGACATTCATTCCTATACGGACAAAGACCCTCTTCTTCCATGGCTTCGGTATTCCTCAATTCCCACTCTTTTTTTCACTTCGCCTTTCTGTTTACTTATTCATTCCCAACGCTACTCGCAGCGCGATCCGAAAGATAAAGGATTCTCTTCCTCCCAAAACCCTGATGGAAAAACTACCCGCGTTCTTGCAGAAATGCGCCCACACCTTCGAGCTCGATCGACGTTACAGAAACGACACGCGCTACCTTCGAGTGTGGCTCCATCTGGTAATCCAATCATCACCCGTCCCCCCACCCCTTCCTGTTTTGGTTTTGCGGAAATGGGTTTGAAAAATGAAGCCTAAACTTGTATTGTTGTCATTATTGTTATTATTAGATTTATAGACATTTAAAAAAAATCATTATTGTCATTATATTTTCTCCCATATAGATGGATTTTGTGAATGATCCAAAAACACTTTTGAGAACCATGGAGGTTAATGACATTGGGACAAAACGTTGTGAATTCTACCAAGCGTATGCTCTTTACTACGAAAAGAGCAGGAAGTACGATGAAGCAGAGAGAATGTACCATCTGGGAGTGAAGAAGTAAGTTGTATAATGTAATCATCAGCATCTTGCTTTGATTGTTGTGTTGAGTACATGAGTGATGATAGAACTTAGCAGTATGTAATGAGTTGACATGGTTCCTTGATGGTTGCCAAGTGCCATGACAGATATCCCTACTCAATTTACAATATTTACTCTACAGATATGACTGAGATGCAACACTTAGTATTTTGAAACCTCTAGCTTAACATTCTCACCTCTGACTGGATCAAGTATCCCCCATTCAATTTATTGTAGTGTTTGATGCTTTGGTGAAATTGGGACAGAAAAATCACATGAAGTTGCCGTTAGATTATGCTTGAACTAGGTGCAAGCATTATTTTCGATGATTTTTCCATCTCATAATTTCAAATTAGTAGATTATTTCAGCAAATAACTACTTAGTACTTTAATTGGTAATAAAAAGAGATTCCTCTCTATCCCAGAAATTTTACAAGTCATTACCTTGCCTTTTGCTGAGCAGCCTTGCAGAGCCTCTAGATAAATTGCATAAATCATATGAACAATTTCTTCAACGCATGCAGCAGCGAAAAAATAGTAAGAAAATCCAGGTAGTGACTTGCTTTTATCTTCATGTGCTCACATTTGTGTTGTTTTAGGAATCTTGTTGTTGTCAGTTAGCTAATTTAGAAGGATCTCCTGCAGCATCAGGAAGCAAAAGCTGCCAGGAGGCCTTTGTCTTCGAAGAGTTCTCTTGACAACAAGACTGAGGGAACCAAAAGCAATGGAGCATGTCGTGTTGAGGGTGTGCGAAAGGATCTCCAAATTCAGAATTATGCAGCTCAAGATGTAGCTGATGATAAACACTTACAGACTAATAAGGAGTGCAAGAAATTTGGTGGTGATGATACAGTTGTAGTAAAATTTGTTGACACTGCCATGGTTGGAAAGTCTGAAGCAGAAGATGCATGCCATCATGGGTTGGTGGATCCTACAATAAATATGAAGGAGGCCATGAATGCCATCAACAGCATGTTCCGGGAGCCATTGGAGACTGTTCCATTAGGCAGGAAATCACATAAAAACCATTCAAAAGAAAATCACAGAACAAAGAACGAGTTTGAGATTTTTGTTGAAAACTTAGATCATGGAATCAAACCATCCGGTTCTTTATCACTTCAGAAAAGGACTGAAGCTAGCCAACCTCACCAAGAACCGCTCCAGATATACATTGATGATGAAGAAAATTCTGAGAGCAATAATGCGAATATATCTGAAGGTGGTTCTATTTCATCGGCTTCACAACCAGATGACTTTGTTTTTCTCCGCCCCAAGGACATCCCTTCTGAAAAATCTAGTGACATGGATGCTGACAGTTCTCGTAATTCAAAATTCAGAGAGGATACAGTTGTTTGCAGATTTGTTGGTTCCACCATTTTGGATGAGCCAGAGGTGGAAAATGTTTGCCACCACGGTTTAGTAGATCCCACCATCAACTTGAAGGAAGCTATGGATGATATAAATAACATGTTTGGGAAGCCAATCGATTTTGTTAGGAAAAGAAGAACCATCAAGCAGGAGAAAGCACCCCAGAGCAGTAGGGGAAATGACTTTGGTGGGTTTTCAATCCTTGCTGATGATCACCACGTGGAACAACCAGTTCGACCACCACCAAAATTGCCAGGAAAGTCCAAGGAATCTGATTTGTTTGAGCCAACTCTCCTCACGAAGGAAGCCATGGACGATATAAACAAAATGTTTAACATGCCCCTGGATTTTTAGTAATAAGGTGACTGCTGAATTCAAATTCCGATTTCTGATATGTAAGCCGAATTTGATTTTGCGTGGAGCATTCGAGTGAAAGGTTTCAGTTGTTCTACTGATTTTTCTAACTAGTAGCATACCTTCGGTTCATATATGGAGCTCAATGGTAGGACAGTAGAAAACCATTTTTTTATTTTATTTCAAGGGAATAAAAATAGATTAAATAACCACAGTAACATTGCAATTTAGTTTAATACAGCAAAATACCAAAATGGAATACACCAGAAAAATAAAAAAGAAAACATCTCCAGATTGAATACTATGTAGAAACAAATAATTGGAAATAATAAAATCATGATCAAGTGAATCTCAATGCATTGTCGAGAGTAATTGTTTGAGACATTATTGGTGGTGAGTCTGTGAGCATTCAGAGGGACGGAAAGCCAAGGGACCAGCAGCGTAAATGACAGCCTCGTACTTGCTGCCATGCAATCTCTTCTTCTCATAACGAAGTGGTGCCCCATTCAGACCATAATTGACATTGGATAGAAGGCTGCAACTTTCAAGAGGAGACCAAACAGGCTTCACGTAGCAAGATTGGAGGGGGTGATCAAGTACATAATGCTGCATCTTGAACCCTTCGAGTGGTGCATAAAGGTAACCATTTTTGTCTGTCTCAAAGACCTTATAGTAGCTCACATGACCATTGTAGCTTTTGCAGGTAACACTTACTTTGGCTGAAGGAATGGGCTTGGCACCAATCAGAGACCACGTTCCAAAGTGATCACAGCTCTGACAATAGACCACAGCTTCTACCACCACCTCGTCTATTTTCTTTGTTGTTTTTGGAACACCTGGAGTGGCTTCTATGTAAGAGAAAGTCACCAGAATAAGTAGAGAAAGGATACTGAAGTGCCTACCAGCCATTTCCCTCGAGGTTGTGAACTGAAATGAATTTGAAGAGTTTAGAGTCCAAGACTTACCAATTAATGAGACATGGTATATATATATATATATATATATTGTTCATTGTTCATTGGTGATGCAATGCACTATTGCGAAGACTTGAGTTTAATTGATAATAAGGCATATCAACGTGCCATCCATTTTGTCGCCAATAAATATCATACTTTGCATCATCTATACGTGAAGGCCACCTTTTGCCATGTACATGTTTTAATGTTTTATGCTGGTGCGTTGTGTGACACGGGACATATGTTTAGATACCAAATAATACAGGTAATTTTATTAGTAAATTTCATTAAACAACTACATACTGATTCCGACAAGTTAAAGTATAATATATGAGATTGTGAAAGGAATACAATGTGTAGTAAATTTACAAAATATTATTTTCTAATCAATTTCCCCTCAGCCTAATAATAGTTTGTTTTGTAAATTAAAGCAGCTGATACATCCACTCTTGGCAGAAGCCGTGTTTGGATCTATAGAATATTGTGTAAAGTTTAGTTTATGTACATTGCAAACACCATCGTGCAAGCAAATTGGTGGAATAAAACAGTGTATCGTTTTTATTTTCAAATTAATGCCTAACGAACAAAAACATTCGTCTAGTTTAACCACTTGAACATTTAACACGGTAGACACAGTTAACTCATTACAAGTGATTATATAACATAGACACGTTTAGTTTTATATTAAGTTTTAATATAATTATGTTGTCAAATAATTTCCACAACCCATTTATCAGTTGAATTACTTATTTATTTTAACATGTGAGATGTATTATCCAACTGTTGAAAATTTTAATCAAAAAGGAATATATATGTATGATAAGAATAAGAATAAATACATAGTTTAGTTAGCCAAAGTATAAAATTAATGTTTGATTGAATTATTTGATTTCAACATTAGATTTAATAATGTGATTTTTTAGATAATGATCTTATTATTATATATAAATAATACTGAAATAAAATAAGAATATAAAAAAATAATTAATTCTATTTTTTTATTCTTTAAATTATTATATATTTTCTTATCCCATTGCATATTATAAGAATTATTTCCAAATTTCTCTATTGGATTAAACCTTGGACTTAGTCCTCTACAATTTTATTTGTTACCTCATAAGTATTCAAAAATATTGGTCATCAAATTAGTCTCAAAGATATTTTCATCATTAATTTAATCTTTCAAAGTTTTCGTCAGAAAATTAATCTTTCGTTGTGACTTTGTTTATTGGATTGAAAGAGAACATCCGTGATACTTCTCTACTACATAATGAAGCATGTGTTGTATATTGTTTCCTATTACTTATGCCAATACTGTAAATGAGTGTCAAAGTTGTAGTGAATATGAGACTTCAGAACAGTGGATGATGAAGCTCTATATTCAGCCTCTATTCAAGACTTTGCAACAGTTGGTTGTTTCTTGCATGACCACTAGATGGAATTGCTATCTGTTGATTTGCAATATGATGTGTCCCCCCCGTCCAATCAGAATCACCAAAATGCTTCGAGTTAAGGAAGAAAAGTCTTGATGGAGTTCTAAACCATGATCAATTGTGGCTTGGTGTAACTAGCACTACATCAGATGTTGGTTAACTAGGACTTGAGATGTTGTTTTAGGCCATATATTTAGAAAAGCTATGTCCAATTGATAACTAAATCATAATTCAAGCTCCAAATAAGAAAAACAAAAGAAAAAAACAAAATTCATGATGTGGATTAATAAAAAAATTCAAAATTCGGTGCACCTATATACTATTTTCCTCAATTGAAGTTAGCAACGATATTGACAGGATTAAATATTTTCATTCTAAAATGTATACAGCTTCATGGTAGTTGAATTTTGTAGCATGATGAGCAATGCATAGGCTAAGGTCAAGAACGTTGTTCTCTTCAAGTCTTATTCGAACCCAGCCAGTCATGCGGCTGCCATTGAAATATTCTGCCGCCCATTATTCTATTTGGCAGGCTCCAGCTTGGAAGTTTGTGCTTTGTAGGTGTCATCTGCTAACAAACTTGGTTCATACTTCATCACAGAATATTCATGAAACCCCCCAGAAGACTTTGACCTTGTCCATCTATATTATTAAAACTTCAACTATCACAACCTTATTCTTCACATATAACTTTCATCACATGTAATCAACACATGGGGTAGGACTTTGATTATTAACATTTGTTTTTCAAGTATATCATTATTCGATATTTCTCCATTTATATGAATAGAATAATAGAATCCTTATCTATGTTTTTAAAGAAAAAAAATTTGTTTGTCAACTATATCGCATTATGTTAATAATTTATTTTGTTTTTTAGAACCAATTATATTATGCTGTTATGAAAATAGAAAGTGTGGAAGTAGGAAGAGAAATGGATAATGGTTGTAACCGGCAAGAAATATAATTGAAAACAATTTTAAAATCACCAAATAAACAGACTGAGGAAATGAAATAAACTGGTATGTGAAGAAGCTTTTTTTGTTAGTTTAATTTCATAAACCATAACCAAACAAAGCACCCAAAGAAGGAAAGAAAGAAAAAATAAAATTTTGTGTCTCCCTTATGTACATGTGACTTGCCACTCTTCTATGATGAAACACAAGATGTGTTAATCTACAGGTGAATACATTTTTGTGCCTTCAGCGATTGAAAAAGGATGAGGATGGTAAGAACTCCATACTTACAACCTGATTTACCGATTTCAGTTTCCATTTACGGAAGCAATCTCAAGCTCTGCCCACCAAAGTGGAGAAAGTTTTGGAACAGCTGCTTCAGGTGTTATTTTTGTTATCTCTCTTAATCTCACACAAACTTCTTTCATAGTTGGTCTTTGCTTTTGATCAGGATGGACACAAGATTTGATCAAAGCATCAACCTGTTCCAGCTGTTCTTCTTGGAAGGATGCTAGAGTTGGATCCACCATTTCTTTGAGGGGCCGATCCCCATGTAAATATTGTGAAGCCCAGTCATCAAGTGAGCCCTCATTGTCCACTGAATAAGGGAGCCTGCCTGTTACCATTTCAAATAATAAAACACCAAAACTGTAAATGTTACTTGCTGGTGTCATGTCAGGGTGTTTTCTAGCTGGAGACTTTATCGCAGCTGAAGCTATTTCATTTAAGAAACTCAAATCAGAGACTTTGGCAGCACAATCATCAGTAAGTTGTACATCTGAAGAATTCAGGCTGCGAAGGACCAAAGGAGGCTGCAACTGGTGCATATGTTGTAGGCAGTAAGCCATGCCCATAGCAACTCTAAGTCTTGTTTCCCAATCCAAGTGCTCAGCTTCTTTTACTGGAATTCACAACAATATCAAATACATCACCCAGTTTCCTACTTAAACACCAATAGAATGCCAAAATGAAGTCCTTAAAATCAACTATTCATTATAAATAACAAAGTATTGTACGCTCATTTTCCCACATAGATATAATTCAAAACCTATACCTATTTGCACGCTATTAAATCTGGCAATCTATCTTAGCCTACTAAATTTACACCGACAGTGTTCTGTTAACTCCTAGAAAATAGGAAGGATGGGGATGTCATAAGCATTACAAAATATATTGGTTGACATCTAATTCTTGGAGTCTCCTCTTGGTTTGATAGAGAAGATGGAAAAAGAGGGGAAGGAGATAATTTTTTTTTTTAAATGTGGAATTTAATTTCTAATATTTTTTTCTATTAACTCAATTAAATTATATAAATATTAAAACACTTTATCACTATTTTACACTTATTTTTATTCTACTAAATATTTAAATATTCAACTTTATATTTTCCTATTTCTCCTTCTTCTTTTTTTTTCATTTTCAACCTCTCAATTTCCTTCTTCGTATTATATACAGAGCTTAAGTTCTAAACTGTGTTGACACGCTCTAGCAAAACACAAAATAGGTTCCATTGATTGATAGCCAAAAGCAACTTTATTAGATAATAATCTCCATAATGAGCCAGAGAAAATGCCCCACTGGGGGTCCAAAATAATAGGTACTCACTGTGTAAATGCTCAAAGAGTGTTCCATTTGGGGCGTACTCAAAAACCACCATTCTGGTGAAAGGCTCATCTTCTTCACAATGTCCAAGAAGATTTACAAAATTCTTGTGGTTCACTTTTGATAATGTATCTATCTGAAACCATAATTATTTAAAATATTAGTTAGCTTAGTTGAAAATTTACAAATAATTACGTTTAACTTTTTAGGTGGCAGTACCTTCTTCCTAAACTGGGCCTCTAAAGTCTTTGACCAATCTTTGGATGATGTCACTGCAACGGAGGCCACGGCTATTTCAACACCACTAGATAAAGTCCCTTTGTACACTGTACCAATGGATGAAGTACCAATTACATTACTGAAATCTTCACATGCTGCTTCAAGCTCTGATCTCTTCAGCTTTGGCACACCTGAAAAGGTAAAACTGTCATCCATCTACAGAGACAGAAATCGTAAATGCAATAAACTAATAACATATCTCAGTCAAGGGAATGCAATATTGCAATCACTAAAGCCAAATTAGATGACCGAGGACCAAATTGAAATAGGTTAAGTTTTTTTTTTCTCTCGGTGACATTTCATAAATTCTGAAGTAGTGGTTTTGTGCAAGTTAACTTCTATCTTCAGTCATTCATCTAAAATTTACCTGTTACGAATGCCTTCTGAAGCTGTCCACTTAATCCTGTGGCCCAAGGTTTTACAGTAGCTACCTTGTTTGTTTTACAGAGATATATCCCAATGATTGAAATGACAAGAAATACAGCACCACATGTAACTCCAGCCAAAATACCAACAAGATTATTTTTTGATGAGCTACTCTCAGCTGGTGGTGCAGAGCGTGATTCAGGCAGGGGAGAAGGAGAAGCAGAAGTAGAATTAGAATCGTTTGGGTCAAAGGAAGCTGGGTTCTCAACCGGTGGTGGTGTTGCTGGGGCAGGTGAGGGAGCTGAGGGAGATGAAGC